TGGATTCTCAAAATTTCAGATTTTTCTGCGGGTTCGTCCGAGCACAGAAAATCGCCAAAGTTGCCTCTTGCAAAACGCCTATTTCGTTGTGCCTGACCTCCCTGTTTTGAGAAGAGGGGGACCTCAACGCCTGGGCCTGAGGGCCATTTTGCAGTTCACATGCCCTCACTTCTTTTTGGGGTCCGCTTCTACCCGAGGACCGGTCCAACGCCCCCCCACTTCTTTTTGGGGCCCACTTCCACCCGAGGACCGGTCCTTCCTTTTTCCAAAAGTCCCGGTTCTACCAGAGCTAGCTGTAGGTAGTCCGCGATTTTGGCAAGGACCGGTCCCCCAAATTTTTTTGCCCCCTAAGAACCCACTTTGCATCCTGGTCGGCCGCCGTCAAAAATGCAACACCTTGACACAGACACGAAATCCCACTATGCCGCAGCCTTAGGGCTGCGAATATATAGTACCCTCAAAACCCCCTCGCTACTCAATCTTTACCCTGGTTTATTGTGGTTACCACCTTGCAAGATGTCACTCAATCTCAGGATCCTTTTCTAACCCCCAAAGGTTACAACTCATAGTATCCCCCTTAAGGTTGCAACTTATAGCAACCCCCCCAAAGATTACATTTTAACAATAAACTCATAGTACCCCCCTTAAGGTTGCAACGTATAACAACCCCCCCAAAGATTACAACTTAACAGTAACCCCCCAAAGATTACAATTTATTATATCTCCACCACTGCCCCCCCCCACCCCAACCACACAAAGGTTACAACTTGTAGTACGCCCCCTAAGGTTACAACTAACGATACCACAACCCCCAAAGGTTACAACTCATGGTGAACCCCTTCAGGTTAGACACAACTTATAGCAACCCCCCCAAGGTTACATACAACTTAGATAGTAGCCCCTCTACGCTTACAGACCAACGTATAGCAACCCCCCTAAGGGGTTACATGCAACTTAGACTAAGCCCCCTAAGGTTACATACAACTTAGACTAAACCCTTAGGTTACATACAACTTATAGGAAGCCCCCTAGTCCAGTCAATCCTCTTTTCCAGCTTCTGCCTCGGAAGAAACGCGGGTCAAACTTCTTTTCCCTCCCAAATTCCATGGTGAGGACAAAGATGAGAATGTGCAGCGATGGATTGGCCACGATGTGAAAAAGATCCTTTGCTGAGAATGGGATCGCAAAAAAAATTGTTTAGAGCACTAAGTTCAGAAGGAGGCTGGGGTTGATTGGAACAGAGTTGGGTAGAGGTTTCAAATCTGATACTCGGGTTTGATGGGAAGGACGAAGAATGCAGAATTTCTTGCTGATTTCATCGATTTCTGACTTCATCGCAACAACTTGAACAAAGTTTATTCTTAAAGGAGAATTTTAATCGCAAAATCATCCCCCTGACCGCCCTCCCTCCCGGGGAAAGAACCCGCCTATCCAACAATTCTCAACCTCCTCTCTCTCCTACTCTCATCTCCTCGGTGTCTCTTCCAATGCCGATGTGAATCAACTTGAGCTGATATATATACTATCCGTGCAAGTTTCAATGATAACACCATCTGAATGAAGTACTTCTCTCTCTCTCTCTCTCTCTCTCTCTCTCTCTCTCTCTCTCTCTCTCTCTCTCTGTGTGTGTGTGTGTGTGCACGTGGGGGCGTGTCGAGGGGGTGCGCAAGATGCATTGCACACAAGGTGGAGAGGGAGATAGGGTGTCGCTTGTGAGATCCCAAGATTAGATCTCGAGATTGGTTCGAAAATGGAGAGAGGGAGAGGAGGAGGTGGTAGAGCTGCATTGCACACAAGGGTCAAAGGGATTCGTAAGGGTGCAGGTGCTTGAGTGAGCAAGTGATTGTGCCCGTGCACGTTTGTGCACGCCCCTAGGGACGGCAGAGGAGATCCAGCCATTGGAGAAGGAGGAATCGTGACAGGGGTAGGCGTACGAGGAGCGACGTCGAAATGAGAGAGGGATGAGGAGGAGGTGGTAGAGATGTTGGCTGGGTTGCTGGAATTGGTCTCAGTGAATTGGAAAAGAGAAGGAAGAGGAAGGGGGAAGAGGAAGGGGGAAGAGGAAGGGGGAAGAGGCGCTGCTAGGGACACGTAGGGGCATCTTGGGCCTCATGACATACTTAGTAGGGCAGGAGAGCGGGGCCCCAGAGGGGGAGGGGGCGGAGTTGTGTCGGGAGACATATCGGGACGGTGGAATTTGCAGAGGCGGCGTCAGCGGAGAGGTAGCCATAAAGCGGCTTAAGAACAGAAGGCGGCAGAGGAGAAGGAAGAAGATGACAGCGTGGCAGAATGTAAGTGGCCATGGCGGTGTCGAGCTCGGCATAACTGTACCAAGGGTGGTGGAGGGCGGCGTGTCGGGATCGCAGCGACGAGGGGGAAGAAGGCATAGGAGTAGGAGTAGGAGTACCGTCTTCACCCGAATAGAACGCCTGGCCATTATCGCTGCATCCGGACGAGTTGCCCAAAATACAGTACGTCTATAATGACCGGGCGTTCTATTCGGGTGAAGACGGTAGGAGTAGGAGGAGGAGTTCAATAGGTGGGGAAGAGTGAAGGGAGAGTGTGTCGAGGGACAGCGCAAGTTGCTTTGCGTGCCCGCGAGATGTCGATGGGCCGCCAGTCACGTGTCATCTCGTTAAGTCGGACGGAGGGCAAATCAAATGGCCACGCTGTCCCCCGCGCTGATGAGGGTGAGGAAAAACAAATGTCAAGATCAGCGTAGGCGTAGGAGACAAGTAGGAGGGGGAGGCTGCATGTCGTGATTGGAAGAGGACGAGAGGAGGCAGGGAGGGTGGCAGGAGGAAGCATGTCGGGATCCGAGGCGGTCAAAGGCATATTCCTCTGTCGGAACATGACATGATGACGTGGACGGCAGAATGTCGGAATGTCAGAATGTCAGAATGTCAGAATCGCGTTCAAAGGAGGGGGAAGGGGAGAAACAACTGAAGGCGGGCAAGAGGACGGCGGAGAGCAGCAGCATGTTGAGATCGAGGAGGAAAGACGAGGAAGGATGGGGAGAAACAGTAATTTCTACTGAGGTCATACTCACACTCGCACTTTTATATACATGTATGCGACCGCTGTTACGGCCCGAAGCTGGATGCATTTGGCAGCAATCACGTCCACAGCAGAGTCGCAAAAGTCCTCGAGTGAGCATGCCCTGAGATGACAAAAGAAAAAACAAAAAACGGGAAAAAAAAATGTAGGCGGAAACGAATAAAGGCGTGGCAAAAGTCACGTCGAGATCGGGGTCGATGACGCGGTGCATGTTGCGATCGGAGGCATGGGAGGTAGCATTACGATATGGTCAAGCCAAAGACGCAGGGGGCATGACGGGATCGAGTGCGGCGGAGGGCCGCGTGTTGGGATCGCGTCTGAAGGATGACGAGACGAGGAGCGAGAGAAGGAAGAGGAGAAGGGGGAGGAGGAGGAGGAGAAAGAAGAGAGGAACAGACGAGGTGGAGGCATGGCGGCGGTCATGTCCGAGCCGGCACAACGCGGAGAGCGGCTTGCCGGGATGGGAAGGAGGACGGGCGAGGAGGTCTGTCGGGATCTGGTGCGGTGGAGGCCGGCATGTCGTCGTTTGGCTCTCTAAGGAAGAACCGGAAGGATGTCGGGAATGGGAGTGGTGGATGGCGGCATGTCGGGATCGCAATCCGAGGAGGAGGGGGAGGAAGAGGAACGGCAGTGCTATGCCGGGAGAAGGAAGACGAGCCCCGATGGGCCAGCCAGAGATTCCAGAGAATGCAAGTCGCAAAGGGGTGTGCGAGAGGAATGAAGAACCATAAGTTTGTCGTAGAAGTCGCCACGTGGCTAGATCTGCTGCCGCCACGTTGGCACCCTACGAATCCAGGGAATGCTCACAGGAGGGTTTGATAATTGGGGCATGCTCCCGAGAGAATTGCCGATAACGACCCAAAAAGAAGGCCACACGAGATGAAGTAGTCGTTTCGGCAATTCAGGTAAAATACGTTTCTAGAGTACCGTCAAAATTATAATTAAAAATTGAGGCACTAGTCAGCCATCTTGGGAGTATTAAAAAAAAAAAAAAAAAAAAAAAAAAAAAAAAAGAAGCTCATGTTATTAGTATTCATTGCACGGCTCTTTATGAGTAGAATAACACCCGTGATCCCACCTCGCCCCCCGCGCCCGCCCTAAAACCCTTACGCAACCTGCCCAGTTTTGGGGCAAAGAAGTCTGTAAGGATGGGGGAAGAGGAGGGGGAAGAGGAGGGGGA